CCAATAACAATAGCCATAGATTTTCTTAGCGATAGCTTGCTAGGCAGGTTTTTGTTTGTATGATAGTAGGCAATAGATCCCCAGGTCTTTATATGCCTGATAGCAGGTAAGCGCCTGTGATATATCTCATAGGGTGATTTTAACCCTAGAGCACTGTATGGGGTTATATTGTATAGATAGGTAGCAGCCAATAAGGCTTCTCCCCACATATCATCTTTTAATCCTGATTGGATTAATAAACATCTGACCTTATTCATAAGTGTCAGGTTTATGCGCTCAATTAGGCCATTTGGCTCTTTTGTATAGATAGGCGTAGTTCGGTGTATAATACCGTATCTTCCTAATAATATATAGAAGTTATCATTCACGTATTCAGTACCGTTATCGGTAAATATCTCTTTAATCTTCTTATCAAGCTAGTTTTCAACCAATTGCTTATATAAGGTAAATTTCTTAATAGCTTCGTCTTTCGATCGAAGTAGAGATATATGTAGATATCTTGATGCTTTGTCAAGAAACGTGATATAGTAGCAATAGCCATTATAGGTCTTAGGGCTAATAGGCCCTCCAATATCGCTATATATTCTTTCGCCTATGCCGTATTCGGCAGCAGAAGTAGAAGATTTATTGATCTTCCTGTCATATTTTGACTGTATACATATTTCGCATATATCTTATATGTAATCTCTTATCTCTGTATCAGATAGAGATATATTAGCCTGGCTTAATAGCCTTTGTAGTAGCATTAGGCCTATATGACCTAATCTATCATGCCAAAGTTTTAAACTAGTAATATTACTAGTACTTTGGATAGATTAATCTTGATCGATCATATTAGATAGATCTTTTGACTTTGATTGGCCAGAATCTTCCCTATATAGTTTTGTATGCATCACATATAGGGTAGTTCGATATAGATTATCTTGCTTATGCCTAATCAGCATAATATTTCGATATTGATCGAAAATAGTGGCCTTTTCTCTATTAAATAGAGATACTGAATTCTTCAGTGCATATATGCTTAATATATTGATTCCCAATTGTGGGACATAGAGCACATTAGTCAATTTATAGACTAGATTGGTATTTGTCTGGAAGATAATATCTCCAGCAAGATCGATAGATAATCTTTGTACATTTCCCCACATGACAGTTTTATTAGTTTTATATACACTATCAAACAAATCCAATTTAGATACTGCACAAATAGTGGCAGCTATATCAATAATGAAAATCACTTTTGTAGTAGAAAGATCTGAATTTATCAGATTATATGCACTTTCTATAGTAATATCAGAATTGGTTTCTTGGTTTGTTTTGATAGGTAGATAAATTACCTGATCGGTTTCATGCGAGAACTGATCGCAGAGTGAGAGACTTCTTGGTGTATTCACCATAGATTCATTACTCAGATTTGAGTAGTCTCTCATCAGGTTTTGATCATCAAAGATTGGTAGGCTATACCTAATTAGCTGTGCCTCTGTCATAGGTATATCATAGTCAATTCGACTAATCGGTGTATAACAGATATCACCGTCAAGATCAATTGGATCATTAGCCAATAGGCTAGTAGGCAGTAGGTTGCTAGCCGAGGTTTCTTCAGCTTCTGCGGGGTAATCAGTCACATAACTAGTAACGTGGATTTCTTCCTCGTCAGATTGCTCATTAAGCATTGCTGTGATCATCTTCTTTTATTGATTAAATCTTTGATTATTTTGATTGGATCTAGGCCAATTTGCCCTAGGTATCCAATTAGCTAGTCTGCCAGAAGGATGCAGATACCAGCAATCTGCTACTATATAGCTTCGCATATTACAATGCGTACAGTATTTGCTAGAATTTAACAATTTTTTCCATGGTTTTTTGCTAATTCGACGATTTTGATTAGCCTGACGATTTTTTGAATAGTGCTTTACCTGATGATTAAGATTGCGATGAGCCTGATATTTGTTCTGTCGATTAGGCTGATAGCTATCAGCTATAAAGATTTGTTCGCTTGATTGAATATGACCGCGCGATTCGTCAATTAGATTAGCGAATAGCGATTCAATTAAATAAGAATCAGAATCTCTACGAAGAGATTGGATAATATTTTGAACAATCGGTGCGTACGATTGGTCGAGATTGTTGAGAACCCATGCGAATACGATTTGCTTTGGGAAATCGATTCCTAGGCTTGCCAGTTCGATTAGCAGGCGTCTTATCTCAGTGAGATAATCATGCATACTATCGAAATCGCCTAATTGACTATTGAATAGGCTTTTCAACACAAGGAATTCGGTAGTAAAGCCTTTAGGTCGATATTAGGTAGCCAAGGTAACCCATGCTTGGTAGGCCGATATAGTATCTCCTAACCAAAAGAGTAGGCCATCCTTGCATGATAGTTTGATTAATGATAAAGCGTCTCGATTGATCTGATCAATAGTTTTGAATTTATCAGATAGGATAACTAGCTCATTTTGACCTATCTCAGAGATAGTAGGGCTAGTAGATCTTGCAGGTCTGCGAGATCTTATTCTTTCTAACCAAATTGCAGTATTTCTACAATCAGGTGATCGTTGATTCGGTGGTAGGGCGATCGCCTTTTCATAAGACCAGTATTAATTAGGAATCTGATCTTGTTGAATAGTGGGTAGCTTTGTATAATCATGTAGAATCGCATCGATCAGTCTCTCTTGATCAAGAATTGCCTTGATTCGGATAGACCAGGCAACATAATTTCCTTCTCCTTTGAGAGGATCGATATTGTGTTTGTTGATCATTTTGAGTTCAAAAAACTTGATTGAATATTTGAAAAAATGATTGTTTTTGTTAAGAAAGTCGAGATTTCTTAGTGTTTCGTATAGAGAAATAGACGCGACCGGTAAAAATCGAGTATAAATTTTTGAAAATAAGAAGTCGGAGGAGCTTTTTGTTTCTCTTTAAGAGAGAGAAGTTTCTCTTAAAAGTAAAGGATTCTTCGTTGAAGATAGAAGATTGAAGAAGTGGTATAAGCCGAATTGAAGTAGGATCAATTCGGGCTCATAACCTGTGAGCAAGCGATGCTACGCAGGTTGGTAAAGAGGAAGTAAGATTAATTGATCTTCTTCCTTTAATTGAATAGGAAGGATAAAATCAATTCGGCTTAGAATCATAAGATGAGAGAAAAGTAAAGTAGGACTGAAGCTTGGTTGATTGTATTGAATCTTGCTTATATGTATTGAACATTATTATTATTTTGGTAGAGAATGCAGGGCATATTTATAACCAACTTGTCTCTTGTATGTGATCATTCTAGATGATGCATGATGATCTCATGCAGATAGATCTAGATGCATAGTGATCTCATGCAGTAGCTGTTTGATCGGTGGTTGCTTGATTGTACGATGTCATTGACTGTAGTGATGATGTAGATCGTGTCATTGACCGTAGTGATGATATAGATCGTATACTGTTGTATACGTCTTACTTGATGTCATTGACCGCAGTGATGATGGTATAGCATAAAGTGTATGACGGTTTAGGCATCTTGCCCTATATCTCATAGGTAGTATATAGCTATCTGCGTATATAGCTTCGATCGCAGTGACCTATTCGCGATTGCCTGGCTGTAGTATTAATCTCCGACCGTAGTATTTAGCCCTAGTGACTACTTTCTAAGAATATATAAGGCCTATTGCAAAGCCTGTCTCATTAAAATTATAGATATCCTCCGATTGGATACTGTTTTCGTTAATCACGCTTTGCACGGTAGTAAACCAGGCTCGTAGAGACTTTAGGTCTTCGTTCAATACGCGTTAGTAGTCATATCGCCTAGAGAAGCGTGTTCGAAGCTCATCACGCCGTTTAATAAACGTTGATGGCCAATTCTGGCCAACGGTAGGCGAAGGTTGGCTACCGCGCGCAGCTAGTAGGATATTCGCCATCTCTCCTACAGTAGCTGGCCTAGGCGATGCACCACGCGTATCCATAGACAGAATCCACTGCGTAAGCGAATCCTCTTCCAATTGGGTCAGTTTATAGCCATTTGCGCGTGAATCGACGCGTGAAACTACCCCTCTGGCGCGGTCGGATAGGGTTGATCTCGGGATTTCGTATAGACTGGCTGCTGCGCGAAGAGATTTAATTCGGCCATTTTGAAGGTCACTAAGGGCTAATAAGATCTTGCCCTCTTGATTAGCCGAATCTTGCGAGGTTTTAGTGCGAATTGGTGGCATGGTAGTTGGTTGAATTAGTTAGGTACTAAGAAGATGGGGATTTTGGATGTGGTGTCCGGGCCGGCCGTGTGTCCGAGCCGACCGTGGATCACGTTAGTGGCGGTGGCAATTAATAATCAAGCGGATAGGTTAGTTAATAACAACTTGGGATCAGTCAAAGAAATTCCTATAGAAGAAAGATGAATATGACCATTTGGGAACAAGTGGGTTCAGCCGGTTTTCATTGACGCACGGAATTGATTCTAGTCGTTCGATCATCGTAGCTCGCAATGAATGTGATTGATTAGTCGGTCTAACTGCAGATCTACGGGGCTAGAGTTTATAAGGTTAGACCCGCCCAAATAGGGCAAGGGGCTCTAGCAATCAAGCCCCGCTAGTCATCGTTTCTAGTCCGTAATGAGTTAGTGAGTTTGTTAACTTAACTAGAGCTAGGAATGTATAGTAATCAATCCGAGCGGATATGCCTGATGATTCAACAAAGACGGTTGAACTGACTGTAAACCTTAATGCACGAGAAGTTCACTAAACACCCTATCCGTCGAAAAGATGTCCCATGCTCTTCGTTCAGCACATTAATAAGGGATGAGACAGAGGGCTTCTTTAGGCTACGGGCCTTGAGTCGGATTATTGATCCGAAGCTAAGTTATGGTCATATATCTCATTACTTTATTGTTCTTATATCTTGTGCGTGATGTTGCTACTCTCCCACCGGAAACTTCAGTCGTCTAATCTCCAGCCTTTTTTTCTATCGAAGTTATTCTGCTGTCAAAGTCTGGCAAATTAGCGAATCCGAAGAACTACAACATGGAGGTTAATCGCGACCCCGAGAAAGCGATGTATCCGGCGAGTTCGCTCGGAAAGCCCTCCGGACGATCTCCCTCCCTAATAGCGGACCCTATCGTTAACTCTAGCGCGGAGCAGTTAAACGACGAATCCGGCCAAAAGACCGACCCCCGAGACATCTCATAATGGCCTATTACTCTAGATATACTACAAATACGATATCGTAACGAGACTAACGGTGGGAAATCGAAGAAGCTAGGTATAACATAGCAGAATCTTATAGTAAAGGGTATTAGTAGTAATACGCTTTATAACGAAAATGTTCTCTCTCAATTCAACCTATTCGGGAAGGGCAGGAAGAGCCTACCCCTAAAGACTATTATCGATAACTCTTCTAGATATATTAAACCCGGTGAGATATTGCTTGTTCTTGGAAATCCAGGAGCCGGATATACAACACTGCTTAGCGTTCTATCAAACTATAGAAATAGCTTCGTAGAAATTACTAGCGACGTCTCGTTCGGTTCTATAACTAGTCAAGAAGCCAAGCAATATCGTGGTTAGATTATTATAAATATAGAAGAGGAGATCTTCTTTCTAGCTCTTTTAGTTAGTAATACCATCGACTTCGCCACACGTTTGAAGGTACCCTTCTACCTGCTACCGGACATTAAGAACGAGGAGGAGTACGCCTAAATATACAAAGAATTCCTCTTGAAGTCTCTCGGTATCACTTATACAAAGGATACTAAGGTCGGAGATGAGTTTATTCGTGGCGTTTCGGGTAGCGAGCGCAAGCGAGTGTCTATTCTCGAATGCCTTGCGACTAGAGGCAGCGTCTTCTCCTAGGATAACTCTACTCGTGGTCTCGACGCGAGCACTGTGCTAGATTAGACGAAAGCTATGCGCGCTATAACAGATATTCTTAGTCTCACTATAATTGCTAGTCTGTACTAAGCTAGTAATAGTATCTACGAGCAGTTCGACAAGATTCTAATTCTCGACAACGGTAAGCAGATCTTTTACGGACCTCAAGATAAAGCTATGCTATATATAGAGGATCTTGGCTTCCTATACGACCCTGCAGCTAATAAGTCAGACTTCCTCACGAGCGTATCGGCGCCTACTATACGCACAATTGCTCTAGACTTTAAGAACCGATTTCCTCGATTAACAGAGGAGCTGCTCGCTGCTTATAATAACTCGCCTATCAAGCTAAGGATGATAGCCGAGCTCGATTACCCTAATAGCCCCGAAGCTTAGTAGAATACGGCGGACTTCAAGGAACAGGAGGCCTAAGACAAGCACAAGAACCTCCTAAAGAAAGCTGCGGAGTCCGTAGGATATTTCTATTAGGTGCAAACGGCTACTATACGCTAATTTCAGATCCTCTAGGGCGACAAGAAAACTCTGTTTATTAAGCAAGCTATAACTATCGTTCAGGCGTTAATCGGTAGCTCACTCTTCTATAATACTCCGGACAACACGGCGGGCTTGTTCATTAAGGGAGGCTCACTCTTCTTCTCTCTACTATATCCTACCTTCATCGCTCTCGCCGAGGTTACGGATTCGTTCGTCGGCCGACCCGTCTTAGCCAAACACCGGGACTTCGCTCTCTATTATCTATCTGCCTTTATCTTCGCCCAGGTTATTACCGATATCCCGATTATACTCTTCCAAATCTCGTACTTTGGAATTGTGCTGTACTTCATGACTAGATTCTAGTACACCGCCTAGGCTTTCTTCATCTTCTGGCTTATTAACTTGATCTCGGCCCTAGCTATAACACAGCTGTTCAAGTTCATCGGTACCGCTTTCCCGAATTTCGACGCAGCAACTAAAGCTTCTAGATTCACTATCGTCGCTGCCTTCATATATACAGGATACATGATTCCCAAGCCCGATATACACCCTTGGTTCGTTTGGTTCTTCTAGATTAACCCTATGGCCTACGCGTTCGAAGTATTGCTCGCGAACGAGTTCCACGACTAGGTGATTCCTTGTATAGGCCTATTCCTAGTTCTAAATAGCGAAGGATACAGCCCCGAAATAGGAGGCGGACAAGCATATACCGGCGTCCGTGGTACGCCTCCTAGAGTAACTAGCGTTACCGGTAACTAATACCTGGCTTCTATGTCCTTTAGCTATAGTAACCTTTAGCGCAACTTTGGCATTCTCTGCGCCTAGTACGTTTTCTTCGTGGTAATGACCGTCTTCTTCACTTCTAGGTAGAAGCAGATAGGCGAAGGTAGTCGCGGCCTCCTTATCCTCCGTGAGAAGCAGAAGAAGGTATCTAAGGCCGTGGTTACGGATAAGGAATCCTAGGCTGTCGAGAAGCTATCCGAGAACTCCGGCTCCGATTCCGAGAAGTCTAACGCAACTATCGACAACCAGCTCGTTAATAATACATCGGTCTTTACCTAGAAGAATCTAACTTATACCGTTAAGACGCTGTATAGCGATCGTGTTCTTCTCGATAACGTTTAAGGATTTGTCAAGCCCGGTACGCTCGGTGCTCTTATAGGATCTTCAGGTGTAAGTGCACTAGCAATACGATTGACAGATAGATATATGCTAACATTTTTACTCAGGCCGGAAAGACTATATTACTCGACGTTCTAGCTTAACGCAAGACCGACGGTACTATTCATGGCTCCGTTCTAGTCGATAGTCGCCCGCTCCCTGTGTCCTTCCAACGATCTGCCGGCTACGTCGAACAGATAGATGTCCACGAGTTATTATCTACGGTGCGCGAGGCTTTAGAATTCTCTACTCTCCTTCGTCAGAATCGTGAAATTCCCCACTAGGAGAAGCTCCGCTATATAGACACGATCGTCAAGCTTCTACAGTTAGAAGATCTCGAGTACGCTCTCATCGGTCGCCCTAGTGCCGGTCTTTCTATCGAACAGCGTAAGCGTAAGTTTAAATCTATCGAACAGAGTCGAGACAGATACTAATAACTTATCAGGTCTCACAATTAGTGTTAAGCTCGTAGCTAAGCCTAGTATTCTGATCTTCCTCGACGAACCTACTTCTAGTCTCGATAGCCAAGCTGCAAATAACACGGTACGCTTCTTACGCAAACTCGCGGAAGTCGGATAAGCTATCCTCGTCACGATTTATTAGCTATCGGCCGACCTCTTTGCCTAATTCGATACTCTCCTCCTACTAGCGAAGGATAGCAAGACCGTATACTTTAGCGATATCGGCTATTATACAAGGACCGTTAAGAAATACTTCGCTGATTATAGCGTACCATGCCCCCGAGAGGCTAACCCTGCTAAGTATATAATTGAAGTCGTATTAGGAAGTCTTTCTAAGGGCAAGGACTAGAACTAAGTCTAGCTTAACTCGCTAGAGCACGAGAAGATTACTTAAGAGCTTAACACTCTTGTCGCCGATACTACCGCTAAACCGCCTAGAACTATCGACGATAGCTATTAATTTGCAGCGCCTATATAGGAGCAGGTAAAGCTTGTTACGCACCGTATGAATATCTCCTTGTTCCGCAACACCGAATATATTAACAACAAGCTTATCTTGTATATACTCCTGTCTCTTTACAACTGCTTTTCGTTCTAGTCGATTAGTAATAGCGTTAGCGATCTCTAGCAACGCCTCTTCACGGTCTTTAGTTTCCTGTTTATCGCCCCCGGTCTTATCTCCTAGCTTTAGCCTATCTTTATCGATCGTCGTAACGTATATAAGACGCGCGAGAAGAAGAGTAAGACCTACTACTAGGTGCTATTCGTTACTAGCTTAATCATTTCTAAGCTGCCCTATCTAGTCGTCTGTAGTGTATTGTACTTTGTGTGTTAGTACTAGACTACTGGATTGCTAAATGATACTAAGTAGGCAGGTAGTATATTCTTCGTTGTAGTGAGTTCTCTCTTCTTTAGTTGACTCCTCGCTCTAAACTAATGAACCGTCTAGATGTTTTACGAGATTTTGTACACCGGTATTAGATAATCGATCGCCGCGTACGCTCCTAACGCAACCTTTGTATCTCTCGTTAACCCGCTGGTTATTACTACCCTCGTATCATTCTACGGTATCTTCGCTCCTTACTCCTAGATCACGGCGTTCTAGAGATACTAGTAAGCCTCGTACGACTATCAACACCCACGAGATTAATACTAATATCATATTTTAGGCTCTACTACCTCGATCCCTTTAACTACCTCTTCGGCGCCTTCCTTACCTTTACTACCTTCTCCGTCGATATTACTTACGAACGGGGCGAGCTTGCGGTCTTCAATCCTCCTGCGAATAAGATATATAGCGACTATCTCTCTACCTATTAGCAAGGTATAGGACGTGGCACGAACCTTTTGAACCTAGGCGCTACGGAGAACTGCGAGGTATGCCGATACACTACTAGATAAGACTACTTGAAGACACTTAACTTGAACGAAGAGTACTACGGCTGGAGGAATGCCGGGCTAGTTATATTGTGGGCTAGAGTGTTCTATGCCCTGGTGTTCTTGATGATAAAGCTACGAACTAAGGCGACGAAGAGGGTATCTGCGTAGACGAATAGTGTTTGTTGAAGAGTGAAAGATTGCCAAGATACCCTACTCGAAGAGTAAAGACGGAGTGCGAAGTTGAGCGCGTACGTGTTAGCTTTAGGTGTGGTATTGAAGCTGCATAAAGGAAGATTCAAATCCTAGATTATAGAATTGCGTACTTGCGCTAAGCTTAGACTGTTGTAATAGTTTTATTGGGTAATTAAGACTATATTATATTCTCAAAGCTTCCTAGCTATAGTGACTAGTGTATTAAGATAAGGAGGGATAGGATCTAGGAGGAGCGATAGTATATACTAGCGATTTAGTAATAATAAAGATGTCAAAGACTAAGATAACCCCCGAGTAGGAGTACGCTATATACACTTCCCGAAGATCTACGTTACCGTATAAGGTTAGTGTGCTATAGGGAGGACTATCTACTATCTACTAAAGCCTTAGCGGCCTTGAAGACTGCTAAAACCTCAATATAGTGATCTGTTAGGGCGCGAGCTACCTAGGTTCGCCTTCTGTCCTTCTAGTATATCGCTAGAGCGGAATATATTTAGTATTCTAATCTAAGAGGCGCTTAGTTGATGATTTTTCCTAGTAATCTATATTATAATCCGCGCGCTTCGCTGCTCTCTCCTCTTGCTCGGTATACCTTGCTTTATTACCTTCCCTAATATCTTTAGGAGGTATTTCCGACCGTTTCCGCTCTTTAACGTCCTTAGCAAGAGATTGCTCGCCTAGTACTCGCTCTACTTTGCTATCCGCCGTATCTAGATATTAATAGAGTTATATCCTAGAGATCCGTATCTTTATCTCCTATCTCCTTCTAGCTAAGTTCCTTGTAAGTAAAATCGCTAAGGCGGAGCCGTAGGCCGGGGTAATCGACGGTATTTCTATCGTTACGGAAAGCCTAATAGGAACGTTAGAATATTACGCACGGTGTTACGAGGATTGAATCTACCTTATCAAGGTAGTTAGGTGAGGGTAGAAATCGGATAAGAGCTGTAGACGTATAGAAAGCACGCTATCTAGAAAATCGTGAGTAGTATACGGAAACGGAAGCCGGGTAAGAGTAGAGATCGGGTAAGAGTAAAGCCAGGTGAGAATGCACGCTATCTAGAAAATCGTGAGTAGGAGTAGGTATATACGCTTTTAAGAAACCGTGAGGACGTACAAGAGATAGAAGTTATGCACGTGATGCAATTTAGCGTATATCTTTCAATCACCGCTTCAACTTCTTATACTTCTTCTCTCTCCTACTCCTCCTTTCTCACCACCCTTCCCCTATACGCACTTTGCTAGTAAGACACCTTTGCTACTAATATAGTTTACCGTCCTCCTACCGTATTTGCCTCCGAAACAAAATAGCCGATCCTTTACGGTATCTCCCCGAGTACTCGAGTACGGTCTGCACTACCTTCCTCCGCCCGGCCTCGTTTCGGCTCGGTTTTCCTTATTGCAGTTGAGATAGGGCGTTTTAACCCTTAATCCGCAACCTTATAAGTCAACTAACCAGTCGATCGTCGAACCTCGGCGCCTCTAGGTGGTTTCACACTTTGTTTCTGGACCATCACGGCTATATAGGGTTTTAAATCCGCCCTAAGAGCGCAAGGCTCTAGCAAGGGTATTAGCAGCCTTAGATAATAATGTTCGCTTTATTTCGGAACCGAGGAAGACCGAGATATACTTCGATGATTAGTGATGTAGTTACTTAGAAGTAGCTCCTATAAGCTAGATCAACGAAACGCAAACTATCGTATAACGAAGGCATCTCTTCTAACTCAGACGATATAAGCGATTAACCAAAAGAGCTAGAACCTTGCGGCGATGTTCAACGTAATGATTTGTTTAGACCTATAACGAAAACCGTGGTCCGCCCTACGAAGGGTTCTGTCGAGAGAAGCAGAGCTGCCTAGAATAGCTTAGAAGGGGGAAAAGCGTGGTCGGCCCTACGATCTAGCCGATCTAGAGAAGCAGAGGTGCCTGGGATAGCTTAGAAGGCTAGGGAAAGCGTGGTTAGCCCTACGATCTGGCCGGTCCGGAGAAGTAGCTTTCCTTGTGGTAGCTTATAGAGGGGGAAAAAGCGTGGTCGGCCCTACGATCTAGCCGAGAAGTAGTCTTGCTTGTCTAGAGTAGCTTCTAGGGACATTATAGAGTACAAAATTTGGCCTAACACGGCTATTGTCAAGATACGTACTAGCACTGTATCTATAAGATTAAAATCATGCCGCAATCGTCTTCCAAGAATATATAGTATATAACAGGGGAAATGAAAACTAATGATATATATAGTATCTCCCTTTTGAAAATCCTTATTGCGCGGTTTTGCTAGTAGTGCCCTCTCTTGTTTTTTCAAAGTCTCGGTCTGTAATTAACCTTAGCGTTAGGTAGTAGGAGCCCTTAATAAGTTAGCTTTCTTTCCCTAGCGGAAGACTCTGCTATATACTAATTATGAAGTAAGAAAAGTCTAAAATCCGGAAGCATCTGCGGACAAAAGATATACCTGGCCCGTCTCCCGGATGCGAATACCTATATATATATCTACTTCGCATACCTTACTATATTCGTATGCCTTTCTTATTAAACTTGTTTTGCGACGGTATTGTTTTTGACGTATCAGTCTTCTCTTTAAGGAGGAGTAATTAGATCGGGTTAGGTTTATAGCAGCTATTGCGAGTGGTCGTATTACTCTTTAGTGGCGTGATAAATATGAATACGCTTGTATTGTCTAGGAAAAGCACTAGGAACGCTAGCTTTTATAAGGAATAATTCTATTAAATAAGAAAGAGCTTAAGTGTGTAAAGGGAACTTTTTATTTTTTAAACACACAAAAGACCACGATTTTGCTCCAAATAGAAGATCGTGGTCTTTGTGCTTTGAGTAATACGTAGGCGCTAAGACGGCGCGTATTTAAGGCTCCTTAACGTTATGATAATAGTCTAGTGTTGCACGTAAGCGAGATACTAGATATCTTAGACTCTATCCTATATAAAGGTATTCCCCTTCTCTCTTACAATAACAAATCCCGCCTCCTTTATAAGCACAACTCTTCCTATTTATTACTCTATCCTATCTTATATATCCCCGAGGTTAAGTCTGTTACAAAAAGCATAACTTCTTGTAAAAGGCCGGTCGCGCTCTCTCCGGAGGAAACTTACCTTAATAAGTAGGAGAAGATCATACAGGACCTAGTTAAGCGAATTACGTTTGAAAAAAAGTATATTAAAAATAAGCTTACTAATAAGAAACGAGTAATTCTCTTATAAGAAAATCCTAGCAGCAGGAGGTACTGTCGCTTTTAGGACTGCGTCCTATACAAGTTACATAGAAAGCCTAATATCAGGACTATATTTCGTTTTAATGTTAAGAACCTTTCCGGTCGATACTATAGTTAGTCCTCACAATCCTATTAAAAGCCGTAAAACCAGTTAAATCTAACGAGCTGCAGAACCGAACAAGTACTATTATATATTATGTATAGAACAAATATTTCCCGACCTGAGTGCCTTAGTAGAGCGTAGGGTTTTGCAGATAGAAGGGGGGGTCACTTAGCTATCCTTAGTTAGCTAGCAAATATCACGCTTTCACAATACTATTAAAGATTAGTTTCGCTATAAGGGCCGTACCTTCGAAGTGAATATATACGATCGATTCTAAAGAGCATATACCGAATAGGAGCGGGAAGCCAGCACAGTAGAGATCAATCATTAATTTAAGAGTCACGAAGGTAGTTCTTAGGATTACGAGAAGTGTAGAGAAGTACCGGACGAACCGCTAAGAAAAGACTACTTTCCTGAAGAGCCTCGTAGTAGCCTACTAAGTAAAGTTCTGGCCTCCGTGATTAGCGTAGGAAACTTAGATAGAGTAGGTAGTGATTCAAATGCTTACCGTCTTAAGAAGATTCGGCGTAGCTAGTGCTATAATTCGTCGGTCATACTATTACTTTCGTTTTATTACGAGGAGTCGTTATTAAATATCTTGGCTACGAGTAGTCATTATAGACTCTTCTCAAATCAAGAATTGTGCGATCAAATATCAGTATACTATTCACGCGTGGCCTCGCTTCGCAAGATATATTTAACTAAGAGACATCAAGTATTTATAGGAGGGGTAGACCAAGAGCCGGCAAAGGTAAGCAGGAGACAATTCTATACACTCCTTACGTATAGTTCAGGAGTGCTGATTTTGATATTAGCTTCTTCCCGTAAATATTACACTCACAGTATATATCACTAGGGAACGGCTTGATATATTTGTTAACGAAGTGTCGGCTAAGGGACCCGGGGTTTTTGTATATTTTCAGGCGTTTACTTTCTAGCAGTTTAGTATTACTAAGATATATAAAGCATATCGTTAGTCTCTCTTCTCGAGATTTAACGCAAACAGAAGTAATAGCTTAAGAAAACCTATCGTTACTCTTATCTAAAGAGGTAGACTTTTGTCTCTTAGGTAGGGGAGAAGCAGGTAGTGTATTAACCGTATCGATAGAGCGTTTTTAAAGCACCCTAGGCCGCGAGGGAGTACCCTCTTTAGTATTATAGACTATAATTACTATATTGATTACGGTAATACGGCGTTTATATTCTTTCGTGACTATTATACCCGGTATAGTTAGGATACTATTAATAAGCGTTATATACTACGGTATTATATAGCTAGTTCGCTATAACGTACCTATAACTTCTTTATCGATAACCTTTCTAGAAAGTTACCGCTTACTATCGATTACTAGCTACTTATTCTTATACCGCTCTATGTTCTTACGAATTAAGTAGTGCTTTTACTATCTCTTCTTGTTTCGTAGATACTTTACTACGCGATTATACTACTCGTCTGTATAATCGAATTTTTGACGTAAATTTTTTTAGGCTTTTCTCCCGAGCTTTCCTCCGCTAACGGACGGTTCTAGAAAGAGTCGTACTCTACGGATTATTACCGAACTCTCGTTAAAATACGGCGGCTATATCTTTATAGGCGCGTATCTTAATATCACGAATACGCTTTCTCGCCTGTTTCGTATCTTCTAGGATATATACGTAGGGGATATTATTAATATAGCTTAAATCCTTAAGCCGGTAGGGCCTACGAGGGTCGATAGACCGACTTATCGAGTAGGCAAACTGTGAGATATAGGGCAAGATGCCTAAACCGTCATGCAGCATATCAAGCCAGATTCATAAGGCCTATACAAGATGGCTGAATCTCTATAAGCTTTATGCTATACCATCATCACTACGGTCAATGACATCGTACAATCAAGCAACCACCGATCAATCAGCTACTGCATGAGATCACTATGCATCTAGATCTGTCTGCATGAGATCATCATGCATCATCTAGAACGATCACATGCAAGAGACAAGTTGGTTATAAATATGCCCTGTTTTCTCTACAAAAATGATGTTTAAAAAAACAGACAAGCAAGATTCAATACAATCAACCAAGCTTCCGTCCTACTTTACTTTTCTCTTACCTTTATAATCCTAAGCCGAATTGAACTTATCCTTCCTATTCAATCAAGAGGAAGAAAGATCAATCGATCTTATTCAATTATCTTTAATTTATCTTCCTCTTTACCAACCTGCGCAGCATCGCTTGCTCACACAAACCGTATAAGTTATTTCTTAGTAGGCAAGCCCCGGATAATAGCCTACGTATCTATATAGATATCTATACTATAGTACTATATAAAAGTATCAATACTTACGTACTATAGTATAATATTCTATAGTTTATTCGATATATCCGCTAATTAAGAGGATAGTATTAGCCTAAAATTCTTTTAATATACTCTAAATATAGTATTACTCACGACTATTATTAAACGCTTTTGCTACGCCGTATTAGAGGCAATATAGCTTCGCGACTTCCGTAAAGCTAGTAATCTTACTACCTCTTTTTATTCTATAGCCTAGCTATCCCCGGGTAAGTAGCTTTTCTAGTACGAATCGAATCATATCCGCCTCTCGTAATACTTAGCAAAATATATACTGATCTATAATCTCGTCTTTTAGCTTTAATTCCTATTTACTAAGACCTTGTAGGACCCGAAGATAGTATAATTTCTTAGGGTAGTCTAGTACCGGGCTATCGTTAGATAGACTTTTAAATACGCTAATTCTAAATAGAATACCTAGTAGAAAGACGTAAGGACTAAGGACTAATATAGGATTAAAGATAATCTCCGGAATTAGAAACGCGTCTCTAGTTAAAAAATAATAAGTAAAAGGACGTAGAGACGTATATAACTAAACAGGGTAAGGCAAGCCTAAGGAATAGCTTAGCGAGTAGATATTACTTACGATTCTTTTTCACTAAGAAATAATTTTATGAATTCCGGTCTTAGATAGATGAAAAGTCGAGGATATCCTCCTTTTAGATCCCGAATTAATGTTAATTTAAGATCCCAGAAGCGGAGTTTTAGTAGCGCCCCCGGACGGTTACCGGTAATAGCGGCTAGCTAGCAGAAAAGGAGGAGTTATATCCGATACTAGCTATAAGGAAAAGTTATCTCTATCGTAGATAGGATCACTCGGGCAAACTTAGCTATATCCTCGATAAATATAGTCGCTTTTATGCGTTTTTTGAGGGAAAGTTTCTTCTCCGTCGTAACTATCGCGAGCACCTATAGAACGTTAGTCGCGTATAATTGCCGATATTTATACTTAATCGGGATCTTATATCACGGATCTTAATTTAAATATCTTTGCTAAGGCTATATCTAACCTCGGCCTTGTAGATTAGATACTACTACTTCTAGAATACGTCGAGTGAGCATTTGGTTTTCAGCTCCGGGGTCCGACGTCTATCCTTTCCCCGTCGCTGATTATACTACTAGGAAAAGAGAGCCTTGAGGAAGCAGACCGTCTCCTAGGTATCGGAGAGATATAACAGACATTTCACCGGATCGCGCTTTGCGCCTTTATAGAACCTAGAACAATCAGCGACCTAATTACTATACGCGGGGATACTAAAGTGATGTCCTACCTATCCTAGAAATCTTGTGTCTTATCCAACCTCTCTTGAGTTTTCGGGCTATAGCGTTTCTGTCGGAGCTAGGAGACATTAAGAGCCTCGGCCTCCTAGAGGTAGTATTCTAGTAAAAGCTGCTCCTCTTTATCTTCCTGTGCTAGTTCATCTTCGGACTTATCGTCGGATTTATCGTTAGACTCGGGCTCGGATTCGCTGCTATCGACGTCACTGGGTGCAGTAGAGGAATTAGAGTCGGAGGCGTTGTTCGAGAAGATCTCGAGCAGGCCTGAGTTAGTGTCGCTCTTATCGTCGGACAGAACAGGACACGGAGGACAAGGTATGGCAGCGGAACGCAGTATGCGATCGAAGAGGGGGCAGGAAGGGCGAAGACGAGTCGAAGCACGAGGGAATGGTCGATGCTAGTTTTATTTCACTGGGAGCAAGTCACCCGTTGGAAACCCAGGCCTGGGGCTGGAGGAGTTGCTGGAGAGCGAGGGAGGACGGTCGGTCGGGGGCCATGGTGGTCGATATTTATGGAAACTCGGGGAAGCAGAACGGTCAACAGAGGAGCCAAAAATGGCTCCCCTCCGCCAGGAGGGTGATTGAGGGTGAGCGAGGATGGGCGGCTGTGGCACGAATGGACATCGGTCGATCAATGGGTCCAGGCACCAGGCACGACCAACACGAAGCATGGGTGGCAGTAAACAGGCCGGCCGTGGGCTTTGGCACACGTGACGCCAAGACCGCCCACGGTGAGTGAGCGGCTTAAAACGGCGTCAAAAGCGGCCGTTTCTGGCCTCCCATTCACCGTGTCATGCATATTAATAGTAATATTAAGGACGTATTTAAGGTTTTTAATATACTTATTAGCGAATTTAGTATAGAAGTTACGAGAATTTACTATACAGTTAATCGCTTTAGAAATAGATTAGTATATCTAGATTTAAATATCATAAGAGATCTTTACCTATCGGTTTATATCTACTAAATCTCTTAGTAGCTGAGGAATATCTTAATTAATAAAATGCTATAAACCTTTCTAGCGCAAAACACGATAGATATTATCTAGCTAAGTATTAAAATCTATAATATTATCGAATAGATTAAGAAGATTAAGTTAATACTCTTCTAGGGTATCGGTAGTTTAGTAAATTATACCCTAAGAAGAAGTAGTAGAAACGTAGTTGCTATAGTCAACCTATGTAGTAACAGATTTAGCGAATACAGGATCTTAGCGTTTAGCTATCTTCCTAGTAGTTTAATAGAAAAGGAGAAAAATAATGAAGGGTAATAACGATATAGGCAAAATAGCACTACTACCCTACGAAGGTTAATTGCAAAAATGCGAGAAGGATAGAAGTAAAAGTATAACAGGCTCGATAACCTGATGGTGTTATAGACACCAAGCGCACAGGAAGCAGGGGAGAACGAAGTCAGATTAGTCTATCTAGGAGAGCAAGAAGACGAAGAAGGAAAAGAAGAAAGGAAAGGCCTAAATAGGCCTACAAGAAGAAAGAAACAAAGGCCTAGGCCTGCAATCAGCAAACCTGCAGGGCAAAGGAAGACGAGCGCATGCACTGCCAAACGGGCAAGGTCGAGGTCGAGTCATCAAATACACTAATGATACCGCGCTAATTGTCCTTCTCGGGGACGGACGAGGGGATCCACTAACTCCGCCCCCGTAATACCCAATATTTAACCCTACCCGACACTAGGGAACGTTTTCCTGCTAGTCCATCGGCTTTCCTCTGTCTGACCGTTGCTTGGAGATATTGCGATAATAGGGGCCTCCCTAATCCATTCTCCTAGCAATTGAATCGACCTCAATCAGTTGTTCTCGGACTCCGTCTCAGGGGAAGTACGCTCTGCGTGCCCAATAACATTCTTCAATTTCAGGCTTTCGACGTCTGCGCCGGCGATGGCAGCGGCATCTCCCAACTGAACCGCAACCTCGTCCCCGAATTTTGCGTTAATCTCCTCGAGGGATAGTCCCTTGGTCTGTAACGGAGATCAAAAGCCTCTTGTCAGTCTCTTCTATCCACCCAAGAGAACAGGAAAAAAAAATCCAGAGCAGGAAGGGGCCTAACGTACCTCAGGGCACCAGAAATAGAGGATCAAGATATTGCAAATGGTCAAGCAGATAAAGATAATGTAGTACTTCCACGTAATGCTCGCCAGTGCGGTGGGAGCAGCCTCAACATAAACCAGGACCGAGATGAACGTTCCAAACAAGGACCAGGCGACGCCCTGAGAGCGGATGTGGGTTGGGAAGATTTCACCTGGTAGTAGATTCACCATCAGCGTCATTGGCTAGCAGTAGTGCTTTTCTTACTGGCACTGGGAGAAACTCACTGCAATAAACATAGCCAACGACATCAATTCCCGCTCCGTAGAAGGTAATGAAACAGAACGAGAAGACCACGCCCATAGCGAGGCCAGCATGGTTTGTAGTTCCTGCGAAGCTTGCGATCATTGCCGTTTCGAGGCAGACAGACACCATACAACCGACCAACCCAGTTACTATGAAAGAAAGTGATTAGGTTAACCCACATAATAGAGGGAGGCATCATACTCAGAAGAGGTTTGCGGCCGACCTTGTCCAGAAGCAACGCCCCTCCGAGGTTGGCAAGAGTTGCGACGGTGACATACGAGGCGCCGAGAATCAACGGAATGCCGCCTGTCAATCCAAGATTCTGGTAGAGCGACACAATATAAACTACAAACATCAGCGACCTGCGTAACCAGATTTATCACATATCGTGATTAAAGAAAACAGACGCACCGTAGATTACATTCGCCCCAGTAGATTGAGATGCGAATTGAATGAAGAAACCCATCCACATGCGTTTGCGATAGGAAGGCTTCGTGAAGAGCTGACGATTGCCTCCTGCAGACCATGCGGCAGCATCTGCTTGAACTTGTTCGACCATCTGAAGGAATTCCGTAGCCGCACGACTGTCACTATTCGCGCTAGTGTCATCGCCATAGAGTCTTGAGGTGATGGCCCAAGCCTCGTCTTTCCGATCTTTTGTGAGTACTGCAACAATTGTTGAATCAGTCTTGGTCCTCATCTTCGGGAGAGCAATATCACATACGCCATCGTGGAGATTCTGGAATCCACGGACTGCATAACAGCAGACATAGAGGTGGAAGACAATTCAAAGCAATTGGGAAACGCCACTGAAACGAGAGATTGGAAGAATAATAAGTTCCAACTCCCACCCAGCCGGCAATTGCATACCCCAGAACGATCCAAGTGCCATGTTGTCCGACCAAAAATCCTCGAGCTGCTGGGGGCGCTATTGTACAATGTGCGTCAGTAGGATGGAGACATAAAGGTACCCTTTTGATTGTAGAACTCACAAATCTCTGCTTGAAGGATCGGGATAAGAACAACCATCATGCCGATTCCAGCACCCGCAATGAATCGTGCCGCTAGAAACATACCAAGCTTAACCGACCCCGCTTCTAATGCTGCACCGAGAACGGTGACCACGGATGACAGATACATGGTCTTCTTGCGACCTCTGGCTTCACACATCCACCCAGCCGCGAGGGCCCCCAGCATAGCCCCGGCAAAGAAGAGGCCATTGACCGTTCCGGTGATGGCATTGGCCCGAGAGGGATTCTGGCCCAGATTGAAGTATGAGAGGAATCCTGGCTGGCCCAGGGTGTTGGAGATGACAGAGAATCCGTACCCGTAGGTGAAACTTCCAAATGTTAATACCAAAATAATACGAAGGGTATAGAGAGAGTATGTTCTCGCCATGTTGACGGGCTGAACCAATCTGGATCTCAGACCGAGGCTGTAACTATCCAGAAAAGTTCATGAGAAGCGTCCTCGAACCGTGCTATCCCTAGAGGTATATAAGTAAGAAATAAGAAGTATAGACAGTTTCCCGCAGAGGCCTACTCCAAATTACCCCGAGGTATAGTGGCTGCGACAAAGTTTAAACACCCTTCTACCGCCTTTTCTACACCGTCCTTACCGCCTACCTCACGAGTTCTAACTAGAGTAGGCCATGACATTTCCCATACCATGGGACACTCCCATGTCCCACTCTGGACGACGGGATTTGGGACCAATCCTTTAGTCCTAAGTAATGGGCGGGACTATATATTGTGTCAGCGTAGAAATAACCCCGACGATAGTCATTCCGCCGGCTTTCCTATTTGGGTAGTGGACTGGGGAATTGGGGAATTCCCGTGGGGTATGGCCCCGTCCCATGGAACCTCTAGCCCTGTCCTATGGGTCTAGGCACAAGGATATTCGGCATCGCCGGCTATAGCCAAAGACACGCGCCGATTCAATGCACTGTCGTAGCCGATATCCGAGAACGAAGTGGGATTGAACAAGGGCCAATAGGATATGACTCGGCCGATAAGTTTGGTATATCTTAGCGGCGCTGGTCGCAATTCCCGCCCATAGAAATAAATAGAGGAACAAAAGGAATCGGAACGAAAGCGAGTGACCTCGACATTACTATGGCCCACCAAGACAAGACCTTGCCTTCGTATCAAGAGATCCCCACCGTGAAGGGCATGCCTCATGGATGTGCCTGGGAGTTTTGGGATTCCTACAGCGATAGCCAACCTGATGAACTTGGAGCTTTGAACCTCTTGACTCCTGACCGGGTACTGGAGGCTAAGAAGGAGGTGAAGCTAGGCATCAGTGTCGCTATCAATTGGCCCTTGAACAACTGCTCCACGCCTCATTCTAACCGTCGCAAACCAGAGCTCCAGATCGTTCCGCTGCCCGGTTGGGAAGGCAATGACGATGAGATCCACATGAACACGCAGAGTGGCAGTCAATGGGATGGGTTTCGTAGGCTTTCTATTCTACCCCTTCCTAGACAGAAATTTACTAACGGGATTGTTTGACAGGGCATTGGGCCCACCAGCCGACCCGCTTATTCTACAATGGAATGACGTCCGCCGATATTAGGGATAACCGAAGCAATACGAGGAATGGAATCGATAGTAAAGACTCAACCCGTTTATATGCGAGAAATGTGAACCTCGACTGACCAAGGACGTGGTGTTAGAATGGACCGAGCGTGGAGGGATTGTCGGCCGCGGAATTCTGCTGGACTACGTTTCCTGGGCGGAATCGAAGGGCATCCAATACTCGCCAGTGGAATATCACGAAATCTCGGTGAAAGACCTAGAGGCGGTGGCTGCGGCTCAAGGGACTACGATCCGCCCTGGTGATATTCTCCTCATCCGATCCGGCTTCGTTAAATGGCACAACGAAGCTTCCGCAGAGGAGCGAGTAAGTGGCACTTCAGGGGGAAAGGCGTGGGCTGGTGTCGCGGGAACTCAAGAAACCGTCGCCTGGATGTGGAACCACCATTTCGCCGCTGTTGGGGGAGATGCAAATGCTTTCGAGGCATGGCCGGCAAGGGATGAGAGATACCGTAAGTAAAAGTCTCTTCTCCGGATGTTGGTTAGTAGAAAAGAAGACTGATTGAATAAGGACTCCATGACAACCTTATTGCGCTCTTTGGCATGCCAATGGGAGAAATGTTCAACCTAGAGGAACTGGCAACGACCTGTAGGAAACACCAACGTTGGAGCTTTCTCTTCACGAGTGCGCCTCTCAACTTCCCAGGAGGTATTGCAAGTCCACCGAATGCCATTTGTATTTTATAAGGACGGAAGTAGGGGGATTTTCGTGCATACAGGTTTGCCTGGCATAACACTACCCAGTTTCTTGGTTGGCCACATATAGATTGTTTAGAGTTTCCTATACTATTGGAAATGCCTAGTACAAATATCTGCTTATTTTTCAACAAGGTTTTTTTGCCGCAGCCGGTAATGAATTGCGAAAAACACTATTCCTACCGTTAGGGTCCTCTGGGGGGGGATGTGCTAGGCAGAGCTTGCCTCCTCTGATTCCTCCTAGAAAGATCAAGCGATACTCTTACTAGCTTTCTCGCAATTGGTATATGAGAGAGCTTTCTTCGCCTCCTTATATTTGACTGTCGATTCTTACAGGCCTGGCAGACAATTGACGACCGCTGCCGCTTTCTAGTCGGCGGGGCAGATGAGTCAGACCGTTGAGTCCCCAGCATTAATACGGACATCAATCTCGTTGGGTCAAAACCGGCCTAGAGACGAGGAAGACAGCAAGAAGAGTTCGAGCGGCAATGGATTGAAGGTCAGGTGGTTGGTTATTGTAGCCGAGCCGAGTCGGTTATTATTATTGCCGAGTTCGGCCGGTTATTATAGCCGAGTATCTGGCTTTTACTACGGAGCGTCTCCGAAGCATTCGGGGTAGCCTAAATGCTTCGGGGAGTTTCAAGGGCTAAGTGGAAAAACCCTTGCTTATAAATATTCTGCCGGATTTTCTGCCAGCCTAAAACGGAGTGTGTGAGCCTACGGGTCGGGTCACCTATACGCCCTTTTCTCGGCTTACCCCTTCGGCCCCTTATAGTCACGTGATCTACGCCTCAGCTCACCCCTTCACCACCGCCCCTACTGCCAAGCTTAAACTCTTATGTACCCTATCCCATGGGGGTGGTGTTACGCGTAGCCGACTGGTCACTGTGAGTAGAGCTAACTGGGGTTATACTTGCCTAGTTCCACTACGGATTCCAAGAGTATCTCGCAACTGTACTGTTGCTATGCTAAGCCTTAGACGGACTTAGGTCTTATTGAGTATCTTGCAGAACGTGCCAGAAGTACGCGCCAAGTAAGTCAGTCACTAAGTAACAATACCAAGTGAACTCCCCTACTTGTAGGTTGGGTTATCTTAAAGGTAAACTGTGAAGTCCAAAGTACTAATAGTAGTAACTAAGTAATAATGTAAGATTAATCGCGAAGAACTAAATACATAATGCTAAATGTCTTTATATATCTAGTCCTTCGTAGTAGTATAGGTAGTAGATAGTATAGATAGTAGATAGCTCTTAGTATCATCTACCCGTATACCTATCTACCCTTTCTACTACTAGGGGGTTACGTGTCGGTTTACCGTTACCTAGTGTTATGGCGTAATCTTAGGTATAGTAAAATAGTAGCCGTTTCCTGCGTCTGGCTAACCGTCTAATCGTATAATCGGGTATAGTTTAGCACGGTTAGGGGAAGGCCATTTCCAGCCGCCTTCCTGAATATTCCACTCAGGGCTCTTAGTAACGTGCCTGAGCAGCAGGTAACGTAATTCACAATCGAGCGGAACACACAGCCGAGCGGAACACCCACCCCCATGATAAAATTTTAAAACAGGATATCGCAACCAAAACACATCAATTAAATTTTACATTGATTGATCTTATGGCCAATTACTCCACATCCACTACACGTAGGCGGAGCCCTCTTACGTGGCTGATCCTGCTGAGTTGGTAATTCGCCCTGCTCATGCGATACTACCTCATCAGCTTGAACTGGCTGAATTTGCTGCTGAACTAGCTATAGGCCCTCTTCAATCGATAGGCCACCCTCATGAGCTATCTGCCTAGTCGATTTCGTGCGCTTTTGACGTTTCTTTTCATTCGTTGCGCGTAGATCGGCGTTCTCCTGCGCTGATAGCGCGGTGTTATGTTGCGCTATACAGTGGCCCTTGATAATCTGATCAAGTATGATTTTTAACGGTGTAGGCGGGCTACTCGATCGTTAGTTTAGTAGATATTTAAGCATCGAAGCTTGCTTTTGTAGTTGAACGACGATTCGAGGCGTTTTTGGTGTGAATTGGCTAGATCTGCTGCTTAGTAGGCTGCTTAGTAGGCTGCTTAGTGGTGTTGGCGTTCGGAGAGGGATATTAAGCTTGGAGAGTACCCTTTCGGCATCGATTAGTACTATACCAGTAGCCGCGAAGCTGCTTTAAATGATATTCGACTAGAAAGCTTCTAGTCTTGCGCGAGGATAGTTAGCTAGAAAATCAAGCTTATCGATGTGATTATAGCTAGTCCGTGCTAGATCGCTCACGAAGCGTCCGTACGCACGCTTTAGTACTATAAAACACCTAACATCAAGCGGTTATAAAAGATGCGAGGAATACGAAGGCATACAGAGCAGTATAATATCGTTTTTAGTGCAGATCCGATCGAATTAAGGTATTAAGTAGCTACCGTGCCCGTCAAGGATTAATAGCCGAAATCGTCCTCGTACACGCGAATTCGTGTATAGAATAAATAGCTTTTGTAGCTAGCGTAGACCGATTTCATCAGTAGTCCAGCCGTTATTTGATACCGCGAATCTCTATGTAGATTTGATTCGAACTAACTAGCAATATAGACCTAGCCCTTAAATATTATATAGGGCGGTAGCGAATAGCCATCAGAACAGATCGTTTCGATCGTAGTAACCCATTCGCGATTTCCTAGCTATAGGATTAATCGCCGACCGTAGTATTCTAATCGTGTAACTACCTTCTGCGCTGATATCAGACCCATTACGAACCCAGTCTCGTCAAAGTTGTAGATATCCTCCGGTTAGATACCGTTCTCCTCGATCGCGCGTTGTACCGTCAAAAACCACTGTTGTATAGCATTCGGATCCTCGTTAAGAGCACGCTAGTAGTCATATCGTCTCGAGAAGCGTGTTCGAAGCTCATCGCGTCGTTTAACAAAATTTGATACCCAATTCACACCAACGGTCGGCGAAGGGATCGATCCTCGCGCTGCAAGAAGGATATTAGCCATTTCTCGTACAGTAGCAGGCCTAGGCGCTGCTCCACGCAAATCCATAGAGAAGATCCATTGAACAAGCGAATCTTCTTCTAATTGGGTCAATTTATGGCCGTTTGAGCGCGTATCACCGCGTGAGATTCGGCCATCGGCGCGTGCATGTAATGTTGTGAGAGGAACTTCGTATAGCTTTGCTGCTTCGCGAAGAGATTTAATGCGGCCATCTTTTATATCGGAAAGGGCTAATAGAATCCTGCCCTCTTGATTGGCCAATTTCTGCGAGGATTCAGTGCGAATTGGTGGCATGGTAGGCGGTTGAATTAGGTAGGATGGCAGGAAGACGCGATTTTGGATGTGGTGTTCCGCTCGGCTGTGTTCCGCTCGATTGTGAATTACGTTATCGCACGTGATAGCGCTAATGTATAGCGCCCGGGGGTTGATTGGGTCTCCGTTGCTCCTTAATTAGCTGCGGCCCCCGCGCCTTCTTGAGGTTCGTAACAGGTGGATCCAACGGGTCTAGTTGGATTTAGGGTTATTTCCTTAACTATAGCCCCACATAGTCCCCTAGGGTACCAGTTAGATCCATTTTCCGTCGCCAGTTGGATTCACATTTACCGCCCGGACGCTCCTGAATTTTTGATATGTTCCTATTTAGCCATTGAATTATCACATAATCGAGTTTCAAACGTAGCAAGTTAGTAAAACCACTATCTTAGCGCGGTTAAAGGTGTCCGGTTTTTTGATGGGGTGCGACCGAGGACGGGCGCTAGGGCTTTAGGCCAGCGATTCGCCAGTTCATATTTTGGATATATTATAATAGTCGCTAGCGATATAGCCGTCGAAGGTAGTCAGGATTTCAGGGGTAACATTCAGACACTTATAAACACCGATTAAAGCATAAAGCTATTTACAAAACTTTCAACTAAGTTAAGGTTACCATCAGAGTCAGTATCCCGTTAGATATAGTACTACATAGATATAGGATCTCATTAACGGCACGTCATTTAAATTTATGGCACGATATATATCTCGATCCTATCTACTCTATACTAATCTCTATACTCTACTACTATTTATACTATAGTATAAAGATTACGGGGGAGTATAAGATATAGGGCAAGATACCTAAGCCGTTAGGTAGTATATTAATGTCAGATATCAGGCAAGATGCCTAAGCCGTTAGGCAATATATCAAGCTAGATTCATGGGTATCTGTCAGATATCGGGCAAGATGCCTAAGCCATCAGGCCAGCATATCAAGCCAGATTCATAAGGCCTATACCAAGGCCAGAACGATGTTCTGAATCTCCGTAAGCTTTATGCTATTATATCATCATTATCCAATCGGATAATCAGGCATGAACAGACGCATCATAGTCATGCAATCTACATCATCATTACGATTACGATTGAATTACATCGTACAATCAAGCAATTGCAAACCAAACGGCTACTGTATAAGATCACTATGCATCTAGATCTATCTATATGAGATCACCATACATCTAGATCTATCTGGATTGATCATATGCAAGAAACAAGTTTGATAAGTTTGCATAAAATATTGATTATAAATATGCCCTACTTTCTCTACTAAGATCTTATTACAATGCACACACATATTCATAAGCAACAAGACGATTCAATATAATCAACCAAGCTTCAGTCCTACCTCACTTTTCTCTCATCTTTATGATCCTAAGCCGAATTGAACTTATCCTTCCTATTCAATCAAGAGGAAGAAAGATCAATCAATCTTATTCTAATCTTCTTCCTCTCTTCTCTACCTACGTAATATCGCTTGCTGACAGTATATCGTCTTAATATACTAGATATAGAAGAGTTAAATTATAAATCTTTATTATTATTACTATTATAACTCCTATATTTTATATTATTAAGTTTATAAAGTTATTATATAAGGGAAATACTGAGTAGGAGGATTAATTCTACGGTCAGGAAGAGAAGAGTAGATATATATACTGTAGCGTAGATTTCTACAGAAGATCTATCTTAGCCCGGACCCTATCAAAAAAATATTATAATTTTCAAAAACTCACTATACTCTAATAAACCATCGTACGATAATAAAATTAAGAATATAGATAGATCTGATATTAACTTAGAACTTCCTAAAGTTTCAACTTCGTACAACGTCTAGGAATAATTGCACCTAGCCTCTGAAAAATTAATTCCACCTAGCCCTGTCTCTACTTTTTTTTCCTCTACTTAAGAGAAATACCCTAATTCTACCTAGGCTGGGTGTAAATACTCCTATATGTTATGGTCAACGACTAGAGGGAGATATAATATTTTCTCCGGATGATACCCTCCCTAGTGCAACTTGCGTAAATCAAATTCTCCAGGTTTATTCAGTGGAATAGCATCACCGTAGAAAAGATCTAGCATGATTACAAAGTAACCATTCGCAGCAATTTGATCAGTAATAAGCTGGGTGTTCTTAAAACGGTGACCAAGGACATCAGTGAGTCTAAATAACGACATGAGTTAGGCGGGCGTCGAAGGACTCTTGTCATTAATCGATAAGCACTTACATAAGTATACCATACTCCGTAGACTTGTTTGCGGGGGAGCTGATATAAATTTCAAAGTCTTTGAGAGTTGAAAATGTTCCACTTGGCTCCCCTTCGTGGTTGAAGCCTTTATAACAACAGGGTCCTGCTGGATGAGATGTCATTTTGGAATTTCAGAGGACAGTTAATGCTTGTGAAGGAGATACCCCGATCAAAGTGATTTGAACTGGAAGCAGGGCATCTATTGGCTATAAATGAGGAATAGGCTAAGGGATTAAAAGACCCTCTGCAGGGCGTCAGGTCGCATAAGCTTATATGCCTTGACTCAACCTTCTTCAATGCAAATTTCTAAACGCCTAGTTGAGGGGTAGGCTGAGTCTAACTGGTCGAGACCTTTAGAGAGTTGATTCAGGCGGAGTGGAATATAGAAAGCTCACTTCCCCACCGGACTCCCCTACCGTACTGCCACACTGGACTTCCCAGCTGGTATCCATGCCCTGGCGGTCCCACGCCGCTTCCCGTTGTGTGTGCATAGGCCTCGGCCCAACCCGCGGGTAACCCGCAAATTTGAGGTTTGAGGGTCGAGAAATATAACTCCCGCAGCTTTTGAGGGTAACACGCAACTTAATCTTTGCGACGCCCCCTAATTTTAATAGGAGTGGCTAATCTCACACCCCCTTTTGACTAAACTCACACCCCCCGGTATGAGATTAGGCATTCAGCACTTTAATTTTGGCCGGATTAGGAATATTGATACCTTAATGCCTTGTTTATCGTATATACTAGTTTATCGTATACCTGAAGATCCATAGAAATAGTTCTTAGTAATTTATAACGGTTCTCCGGCTAATGTCGTTATCTGCCTACGCACACGCGCTGAAATATCGCTTATTCTCGTGCGATTTTACCACCGGTTCCCTTCCAAGGGCCCTCTAACTTTAAGTCCACCTATACACATTCTAAGTAGGCACTGTAGGCTCTATTTATAGTAAGTATTTACCTACTTCTGCTTACTTGAGGTTATACAGAATTATAACATAGTATATGACGTTTAGGATCGGGCATCGATGCCTCGCCAATTGGGCACCTATTAGACCTCAAAAGGATCCGTTCTGATCCGGATCCTGATCCGCCCCTAGGACAAATACACATTCTGGATCCTTTGTGAGAGTGCCTAGTAACACTACTAGTTAGCCTACCATCTATAATCTAAGCCTGGTGGGCATTGCTCCAGACCATAGTCTATCCTCTAAGTGACCGATAGATGTGTGGCTTCACTACAAAGTTCGCTAATTTAAAAGGCTATGTCCTTTGTAACCTATATGACAGGTGTGACAGTCCGAACCTGCTAAATAGGATCGTATGAGCAGTTATGATATGTGTTCATGTAAGAGCTCCGTTTAGTTATTAGCTTTCTCTTTTTCACCCCCGCTTAGACATATATGAATAGTTATATATATATAAAGCATATAAATGTATATGGATATGGATGTAGACCTTCGGGATAATCCAATGTCAAGATAGCTAGAGAGCTTTACAAGGCTAATTATAGTGTACCAAATAGCATTTCTGATATCCATGCTTGCTGAACAAGCCTACTCCTTGGAATCAAGATGACGCCGGTTAGGCAGGATCCCCGCTACCTGCATCGTTTTGAAAGCTGAGACCCACGACTCATAAGTGCTATCATAGCGTGTCCAGCCAAACTTCCTGGCTTTATCAAGCGATAGAAGCGTTGTTACCGCTCTCCCCATAGCCCAGTTCAAGTGATCCCAACTAGCCCAAATGAAAGCCTCTCTTTTCCCTCCGTATTTCTCGACAATCCTGTCCCACACTTCTTGTTTATCCTTTAGCCACTCAATGAGATCAAGCCCTAGAACAAGGCTATTGGAATCTTTTTTCATATTCTCAAACTTCGGCTCTGGACTCTAAAAATCCACTCTGGTTAGTTCAAGCCTTTGTGTTACCGGAATATTTCCGCTCCTAATACTCACTTCTCTTCCCCAATATGCAGCAATTTTAGGCCAAAAAGTTCTCTAGATTATAACGTCTCCATTGTTGTGATTAAATGCCTCGTTAGCACAGTGCTCGTGGGTTGCAGCAAAAATGGCAAGATCAGCGATGCCGGGAGCATAAGACTTCTGGTAAAAACTAGTCCAAATATTCTCGTTTCCAGGAAAAAGAGGGGGTTCACCAAGCTCACGACAAAGTAGAAAATATACGGCTATAGTAAAAGCCTCCGATATGCCGTTCGCTAATAAATCCTCCTATTAATCCTTACCCTTCCAAATCAGAAAGGAATGAGCTTACCTTGCGGTGTGAACCTAAATATACCTGTCGGACGGATAACATTCTAGCTCTAGGTATTTCGTCTTGCCTGCACCTCAGTCAAGTAGTCTTCCTAGGCATAGTAGAAATTTTCGCTATTGTCGTTATAACGAGCGTGTTTTTCTTCCGCGGGTGGCTTTATGTACCCCACGTGAGGACTATAGTACTGAGTGCCACGATTAGCGATTCATTATTAGAAATTTAGTTATAGCGGTATGTCCAGATTTCTATACCTTTCCACCGGTATAAATACATACTCGTTACATGTTTGGGCATATAACTTCCATAATGTCCAGAAAGCTTTTGAATAAGGGGACATTCTTTTGTGGCAAAAGTTTAGGATCCGATGAGTGAATATATGACGTATAAAACACATGAGTGATATCGGCACAGATTAGCTTTAGCTTGTTAATGTTCTCATTAACAGGTTCCAAGTAATCAATCGCAACGAAGTCGATTCGCGGGTCAGCCTAGTAATTGGGTAGTTTATTCCGCGATGAAATAATAATCTTTGGCCTTAGGTGGTATTAGCTTTCATAGATCCCTAATTTGACTGTGAGAGCCCCACCATTCTGATTCAGGTCGTCGGATCAATTGTTCCACAATTGCATGTCCACTGATACCATTAACACCACTCACAAAAGCTACTTTGGGTGATTTCTGGTATTTCACCACAGTCCGGGTGTACACCATGACAGGTGGCGTGATGTAATGAATCGATAAGGGATAAGGTCGTGGACTTGCTTTAGAATCCTTCGTTTGTAAGCAAGGTTGAATTGCCAATATGATGGTTTAGCTCACTGGCTGGATCATATAAATAATCGTGTTTCATTGAGCTCTTTTTGTTTCGGAAATTGGTGGGGAATGATATTGGTGATGCTTTCAAGGCGGAATGAAACGGACAACCCCACGGTTTCCGCAGCGCTGGAAGAAAGGCGGTGTGCATTATTAATGGCCCATACGAAGTTTTGAAATAATCCGGTGACCAAATTTCGGCCCATTTTAATGTTTTGGCTGAGCAACGAATAAAACTAGCACAGCGAAATACCAGTTCTCCTTTACAGCCGCCTTCCCACGCTATCCTTGTCTATGACTCATCACCCCAAGGTTTGGGGCGATGTTGTTAGAATTGGCTAGGCGCATGCCATGAGAGAACTGTCTTTTACAATAATCATTAATATCATTTCTGTCTCTTTCTTACGGGCCAATGGCAAAGAACAGGTCAATTTGGTGCCTACTGAAGGAATTATCGTAGCTGAAGAGATAGAGAAGACGAGGGTTAGCTAGAAGGGGCAATAGTGATGGTGTAATTTCGAAATTGCCCAACAGATTTAGAAATATTGATCTTCCACTTTCTTTTCCTCCTTTTAGCTCCATTTCAAAAGGGCCAGTATCTGCTGACTTCGCTCCACTTCTTGCACCCTTTGCTCGCAGTCTCTTTAATTCTGTAGCGAATTCCGCAGCAGCAGAGAGAGCTATTTTTATAGATGAGCATTCAGCAAACCAAAGTCCAAAATTCGCTTGAGACTCGCCATGTTTAAAAAGCAGCTCTGCGTGCATAGCAATAACCGAAAATGCGGAGCAGAACCGCCTCCTAAAGACAAACTAGGAGCCTTCCTCAAACAAGGACATAGAGAGAATTTTGCAGCGAAAATTGCAAGACCATCTAACAGGGGCTAGGAGATATCTAACTTCGCATCTAGCCCTACATCAAGACCTGGGCTTTGATTAGTTCAAGTCTAAAGCCCAAACTCCCACTAGACTAAGAACCCAATCTAGCACCAGGTTGAATTCCCAATTAAATATCGACATCTGCATCGCCTTGTACACCAACTTCAACATGGAGCTCAGCTTTGAATTCAGCATTCGTATTTTGGATCAACAAATCCTCCCCTCAATTATGTATTAAATTAGACGTTCAACTCGTCGTTGAACTCGATGTCAGAACCTCTGCCAAGTCATCCAATGAAGTCAATATCAAGTCGTAGATACGTCAGGCATCAATCTCGCACAATGAAGTTATTTTCTAGCTCATAAAGTGCAAACCATCACATTCTTAACTAGAACCCGCTGTCTAATTCTCTCCATACCTGGATATCCTACTAATTGGGAAAACGTAGGGCCACGTTAACGTAATAAAAATAGTGGAATTCATGGCTGTATACCAAGAAATTGAAGATAATATACATCAGCGAGACATAAAACGAGTCCCAGTAGGGGAATAAATTAGAGGATAGGGTCAAGCGGAACTTTTATGATTGCAACTTCAATTGATCGAATCAATCAATCAACACTCTATTAACCTGATGCAGCCTAACTAGTGGCGTAATGGCTATGCAGGCGCTTCCTCCGGCGGAAGCAAGAGTATTCCGAACGCCAGACCCGCGCATGAAACAGTAAATACATAGGAAAACGGCGTCTTGCCATATAAAATCAGCCCAAAAATCAGCCCAAAACAGTATCCAAACGCCTGTAATGCCCTCGCTCCCACGATATATCCCTCAATCAGCCCTCACAATGGCCTGCTGCTTCCTCTGTATCTCCATCTCTGCCTGCCCTCTCCGGCATTCAAACCATCCTCCTGCTTCGTTCTCGATTGGTGGCGTTTTCGTCGTCGATTGGCGTGTTAACATGTTGGATGTATTCTTCCAAGACCTCTCGGTCGGCCTTGGGCTTAGCTTTCCTCCTACCTATCGTCTTCACCACCTGCTCCTGCTAGTCTGTCCTGGCTCGTTGTTCCGTCGCCTTCTTTTGGCGGTTCTAGCTCGATTTCGACGTGCCGGAATTGTCCTAGAAGGCCTGTTTGCAACATGAATTCGCCCACGTAGCGGGTGGCCAGCGAGTGCGATACAATCGCATCGTAATCCGTCGAATCTCCAAGGTCAGTCGCCCTGACCTTGTCAAGGAAGATCTTCCTTAGATCAGCGTACAACGGGCACTATATTAAGACGTGTCTCGGTGTTTGAGACCCTTCTCTATAGTAATACTAATCTGATTCGACCGCCTTGATCTTGAATAAGAAGTAGTTTAGTGCAATACGTATTAATCGTATCTAGATCAGAATCGAGGTGTATAGCTTCGAGAGAGACTCGAACAGCCGAAGTACCTTCTTATCTAGGGCCTTCACCAATCGTTGGTTCGGCTTACCAGTTATCTCCTTCACCTACTCTTGTGCCTATCTCTCTTTAATACGCCGCCGCACACGGCGCTTCGCGGTCGATGCTAGAAGGACACGATCGCTAGGGGATCTACTACACGCCGAATCACCGGCGGTCAGTTAATCCGCTCCGTTCCCTACACCTCCGGTTACCGCCAACTTTGCTTCAACGTTAGCGGTTTTATTGCTAGGAACGCCTACGTGTACGGGGATCTAACGGATCTCGACGGGAATCTTGTCGGACGTGGGTATCTGCTAATGATATACCTATTTCGATCGAAGGGCCCGAACGTAGTTATAAATTTGCTAGAGCACGTACTAGCCCGACGATCGCTTGGGATTTTGCACCGCTTGGATAGCGGCCTGGCTGTCGGAGAAAATAACTATTTTTGCTGGGCTTCTTAGTGGCCTTCGGTTCCCTAGTTAGTTGACGAATTTAGCAACCGCCATTTCAATACCGCTAAGCTCGGCAACGTACACCGTTGACTCGTCGGTAGTTCCAAGGTACCGTCGTTCAAAGACGCCCTCACGCGGGGCTACGGCTAATACGCCTACCTTTCCCTCGTACCTACTACTATCTGTGAAGAATAAGGTCGTACGATCCTCACAGACTATCGGGGAGCAGTCTAAGAGGGCTTGTTGGAATAGAGATTCCGTCTTAATCTTGTTATACGAGGCTCGCGTAGCCTCCGTATCTTCGATCACGTATAGGATCCGTGCCTCCTATAGTGCTAGAACGAACGCTTTCCGAGATTCCTACGTCCCTTGTTAGTTTAGGATACTATCCTTCTTCCACCTAAGGGCTTCAAGAGGGCTCTACCTTCCTTTCTTACGCTCCTATACAGAGCGCTAGGGATATCGTAGGCTTTAAGGCTAAGCCTACGCGGCGCCTGTTTAGATTCGTATTGCTAATTCCTAGATAATTTAGTCTATAAGTAGGTGTATCGGTAGTAGGAATAGCTCGATATTAAGCGCTGCTATACTAGTGGATTTAAAGGCGCTACTAATAAGAATCGCCGTACGTTGCTAGATCTTGGTAAATTCGTTAATAGTTCGCCTTAACTCCCCTACCGGAATTACCCTCGCAGCAGGACTATACTACGCAGAGACCCCGTAGAGTATTTACAGTACTACCACCGCCTAGTAAACCTTCCGTATTATCATTAGGGAGGCTCCCTATATTGATCCTGTCATCGCCCGGAGGGCCTCAAGGCTGCCGTTGGTCTTTGTAAGGAGTTTCTGACGGTGTATATTGAAATCAAGACGCTTGTCGAGCCAGACACCTAGGTATTTAGCAGATTGCGTCGGTTATATTGATAGGTCGTTGATCTTAACAGGTATTCGGTCGTTACCCTGTAGGCCGCCTCGATGTCGAATATATTAGTATGTGTGTTGTTTTGAATATCGTCCTAGATATCATCCTGGATATCGTCTAATTCTGGGGTAGTGTAGTGAATCAATTCGAATTTGTCCGGTGTAAATCTAGCCGCGTGTCGTTTCGCCCATAGATCGGCCTTCCTAAGCACCTTCTCGAGCGTGTGGACGTTTGTATGGTATGATTCCGATTCGACCAGGATCGCCACGTCATCTACCTATCCAAAGCCATGAGATTGGGTATCCCCTGCGCCTAGGCTGCACGCGGTAATCAGTGGCGCATTGAACATCAGGAATAAGATCGAAGTATAGAGTGAAATCTTATAATCGGTTCTAATTGTCGGAAAACCAGGGATACTAATTTACCATATAAAACACCGTAGACAAGTGAGTTATTACATTTGAAATGTTCAAAACAACAAACCAAAGGCACAGTTGCACTCAGCGCCATGCAGATGCCGAAATACGCAAGCTACGTGCTGTTGTGAGTTCCAACGTGATGAACAGTTCCTCCTGGATATTTCACGACCTTCAAGTGAGATTCGAGATATTCAAGAATTCCATCGGGAAAATAGTTGTGTGTCATAATCTCCATCAAAATCCGATTCCATTGTGCTATACAATAAATCAACATGCTGACTATTGGACTATTGGTTGTGGTCGGTAGTGGCTGTATTATGATACACGCACCAGGTAATCTGCCAACCAGGGGCTCTTGATGAGTAGAATTCCCGCCACAAACACAACGTCTATCACAAAATGCTTCATCCGGACTAGCTGTATCTAGGGTGACCCACGGAGTCTTAGTATACTTAATTGTTCAAATAGCTTCCGTGGGCTGGCAAAGAATGCTACAAATATAAGGAGAGTGTGAGAAAGACACCTCTAGCCGCCGTTATCGTCCCGTGGAAAATATGCTTCTATTCACGACTGCCGTTTCTCTGTACAAACCCGTAGGATAGAGCGATGAATATGAATGCGAAATTCGGGGACCGACCGATCGTGGGCTAGAACTATGAGCCAAAGCTGCTTTGGAAACTGACTTGGGGTCTCTGCTCTTGAGCCGCGCTGTCTTTCGTACTCCATGGGGGTCAGTATGGACAGTAAGACTTGATAACTATCTATCTATTCTTAAATTTTCCACACCTAAGAAGATCAGACT